ATAGGAGGGAGCTCCTGTTGAAGCTTCAACGGCTTCAACATGGTAATATGTGTGTGAATGATTACTTCAAGACGCTAGAATCTTTGCTACTTAGGGCCGGTATGCATGATGAAACTAACGAGACTAAGGTAGTTAGGTTTGTTATAGTGGTCTTAGAAGAGATATTCAGGACTTAGTAGAATTATATGAATACTCCTCCATTGAAAACATTTTACATCTTGCCTTGAAAATTGAAGCTCAATTGAAAAGAAAGGATGAGGCTAAAAGGAGTTATTCGCATAATGACTACTACAGTTCAAATTGGAAGGACAAAGGCAAGGAAAAGGAAAAACCATAGAGAAGCCTTTCCAAAGCTCTCCAAGAGGTGCCCCCTAAGGGAAACTCTTCAAGGAACACCACTCCTAACACCTTCGCGCCTCAAAGGATTAGTTCCATAAAATGTTTCAAATGTCTTGGGTATGGGCACATTGCTTCAAACTGTCCTACCAAAAGGACTATGATTTTGAGCGCAAATGGAGATGTCAAGAGTGAAGATTCCTCCTTGTCGTCGTTGTCAAAAGAGGCAGTCGGAGCGATGCGATGATTTTGATTGACTCGCATTTTTTGAAAGAAGTGGTTCAACGCCTTTAAGTTGTCTGATAACCGGGCTGGACCTAAAGACGAGGTTTTCGAAAAGGTTCGAGGAGTCGCCATCTGTGTTTTAACCTTAAACATTGAAAAGGTAAAAAAAGAAGAAGGAAGTGATTTTAGAAAAAACCAACTTTGGTCATTACAACCAGAGTCGAGTAAGGGAGTTAGTTATGTGTGGGGAAGGTGTTAGCACCCCACAATGCTCCTTTCATGTTCCCTATGATGGACTAGTTTAGAAAATAAATATTTAAAGAAATTATGCTTTTACCCTATTATTCTATCTACTTACAAAATTTAAATATCTACATGGTCTTAATATGTAATGCATACAAAGAAAATGATAAAGAAAGTAGTAAAAGAGAGAGAGAATAGGGAAGGAACCTCCGAAGCAAGCTTTATATTAACCCTTCAAAACTTGAAGATGATTTTTGGTAGTCCCCGCACTCTACAGACACGCTCCTCCTGCAAAAGATAAAATCTCACTCTACCGAGGGCCGGACGTCTCAAAAGGAGACTTATTTAACCAATTTCTACTTTAAACGGAAATCGAAAAGCTCACTCGAACTCTGGAATAATGCTCAGAGTCACTCATAAGTGCCAAAAGGCTTCCTAGAGAGTGGTAGGAGTGAAAAGGTGTGAAATTTTGAGGAATGGGGGCTCCTATTTATAGGGAACCGCACCAGGAAAATGTGGACGGCCGTCTGGACATAGTGGACGGTCTTCCATGGCAAAAAGTGGCCATGGACGACCGTCCATGGCCAAAAGTTTCCATGGATGGCCGTCCAAGCTAGGTGGACGGTCGTCCATAGCCTTAAAGTTGGCATGGATGACCGTCTGACTGTCCTGGACGGCCATCTGCTGTCTCCGACGAATTTTCCGATTTTTATTGCTTCTAAAAACCCTTCTTATCTTAAATGGAACCTAGAAAAAGCTACTAGGGACTTAATAAAGTCTTGACCATCTTCGAAACGGGTGATCTCTGACTTTATTGGGAAGCTAGGCAAGATTTGGGGTCTATAGCTGCGCCCCCTTCATCCGACCAATTGACTATGGGTTAATGTACCATGAGGTCGATTGGCGGGTGAAGGAGTTAACCTTCTTGCCTGGTTGTCCTCTGGACGCTCCTCTTGTCGTGGTAACTGACCCTCGGGACTGTGAATGTAGTCTGGTGTTGTCTTCAGGATGCTTCCTTGCTACGGAGGTTGACCCTTCGGATGACATGTGCGAAGCTTCGGGATGCTCCTTCGGTGCGGTAGCTGACCCTTCGGCTGATGAAGATTTTTCCCTTGGGATGCTCCTTTGATGCGGCAGCTGACCCCTTAGGTGGTGAAATCTTGTCTTCAGGATGCTCCTTCGGTGTGCTAGCTGACCCTTCGACTGATGAAGATTTTTCCCTTGGTATGCTCCTTTGATGCGGCAGCTGACCCCTTAGGTGGTGAACTCTTGTCTTCAGGATGCTCCCATGTTGCGGAAGCTGACCCTTAGGACAGTAGAGGCGGGTTGTATCTTCTAGATACCCTTTTGTAACAAGGCTGATCCTTCAGATGATGTACATCCTTCCTTCAAGATACTCCTTTGCAGCGGAGCTGATCTGTCGGATGATGACGACGGATTGTGTCTTTCGAATACTCCTTTGCGACGGAGCTGATCCTCTGGACGATGTGTAGAACTCTATCTTTTGATGCCACTTTTGCTGTGATGACTGATCCTTCTGATAGAGAAGGTGGCGGCGGCTTACTGCTCTAGCTCATGCGCCGAAATTTGTCTTCAGGACACTCCCTTGCAACGGAGCTGGTTCTTCGGACGATGTATGTGGTGGTGGCTTACTGCTCTAGCTCATGCGCCGATTCCATGGGGGTGATTGTTGTTGACTCTTCTTGTATAGTCATCCGGTATGTTGACTTCTGGAGATTCTTGGTAAATGCCTTTGAAGTAGGCAAGAATTAATTGAGGTTTGTTGATTTAGATGGTGCCTTTGAGTAGGCTGATCCGCTTGGGGATAGAGCCTTTCTGTTGGCTGCGTTTTGAATGTTGCCTTTTCCTTATTTAGTGGAAGTATAGTAGTCGGAGTTTATCTGGTTCCGGAAGCTCTTGATTAATTTCACCTTTTTCCGCGGTTTTATTCTTTTTTCTTACAATTTTGAAATTTGGCTTTTTTTCGGAATGATGCATGTGCCTTTTTATTTCCTAGTTTCTTTCATGCATGCTGGCTTTCGTAAAAAGGGAAAGGCAATTAGATAAAAACGTTAAAAGTTTTTATTTGTCTTGTGGGACCTGAAGTACAAAAGGAAATTTATTAAAGATCTCAGCTTTCTAGCTCTGAGTTGGATGCTGAGGACGGTGTTGGCGAAGGGAGTCAGCGGAGTATGCGGTGCTGGAATTCCTCTTGACTTTGGATCATGCTGTTTAGGTTTTGGCCTATCTCATCCACCCTTTGTGACGACACTCGAATAGAAGGGAAATAATTTAGGGTTAGGTTTTAAGAGTTGATTTGATTTGAAATAGAAAACAGAAAAACATAAAGGATACCATAGGCGCCATAAATAAGAATATTTGATAAGCCAAGAAGGATCGCCACAAGAATTGGATAATTCTTGATAAGATCAAATGATGCAAGGAAGAACCCTAGCAGAGCAATAACTCACAAAGTGATTCTGAATATTACGTACGTTCCTTTTGAATTTCTAAATGTTTAATATAACTTAAGTTTATGAGTTTGTCTCATTGCAGGAAATAAAGATAAATTAAAATCCTAATATCTCAAGCAAAGTTAAGTTGCCCTGATGGTTCAGTGAAGACATTATAAGCTTTGGGTCTTGGGTTCAAATCCCCACTGTAGCAAATAATAATAAAAATAACAACTAAATCTTCTAGTTGGGCCTCCTAGCTCTCCAAACATTTTATGCATGTGATAGGGCTAGACTCCTCCATGTTTAGAGCTTTTAATAGTTGGGCCTTTAGCAAATTGGTCACTTTGTATTGTAATGCCTTTGAGTCTGCCTCTTGTCATAGGTCCACCTAAGTCTTGGATTGGATCTTGGTCTTGATCATTCTCGTTATGGGCTTGGGCCTTTATGTCCACATCACTTTGTGTGAGGCCATCTACCCTATGACTGAGACTTTCTTGCACTCGCTCATAACCCTCCTGCCTTAGGGACATATGATCGATCTGTTGGCGCAGGTACTAGAATTGTCTATCCATATGGGTCCTCTCGTTGCCTATATGCCGATGTATACTGGTGAGGTCATCCCCGTATTGTGTCTACTGCTGCTGGGATCCTCGAGGGATGGGCATCTCTTATGACTTCGATGCATCCATATCGTGAATGTTGATCGTCATAGCGAGAAGGGGGTGTAAGACCCAAGAGGTGCCCTGCCGGGTGAGCATGCTCATGTTGGCAAGTACCGTACCATCTATGAGCTCTGGTTGGAGGGCGATAGGGATGTCTTCTCCATCAGTGCATCCCCAATATTCGGCCAGAGGGCTGATAAGGGGGCCTATCATGATGGATCTTGTCGGGCCTCGGGTCCCAAAGTCTTTCAGTGCCTTCAAGAAAAAGTAGCCGAGATTGCATCAGATTCCTCGATGCATGCAGTAGATGGCGAAAAGGTTCACCTGAGTGACCTTGCCTTGGCTTTCTTTTCGACTGTGAAGGGTGCCCACCAGTAATTTGTGACAAATGCGGAGAGGAGGGAGGAAGGCGGTCCCCTTTGGGTTGGCAGGAATGTGTTAGGAACCGGTAATCTCTTCCCATATTTGACCGGTGGTGAGGGTGGCTAGCCTTTCACAATATGCCCCCCTATACTCTGCGGTTTGGATTTCTGCTGGCTGATGAAATCCCATGAGGACATTGAACTCATCTAGGACGTTGGTCCGGTAGGCCCCATTCATCCAGTATGTAACTGATTTGGACATGAGGAACCCCAGGGATCATAGATGGTAGGTCTATGAGCGTAATAGAAGCGAGGAATTCCAGCGTGGCAGTGCGGTGAATGCGAGTAGGTGGATCTCTGAGCAGGAAGTCCCACCCTATGCCTTGGATGTATCTCCTTACATCCTAATCCCAACCAAACATGGTTAGGATCCTGAAGTCTAGCCAGAGCATAGGGTGCCACGCATATTGGCTAATGTTGGCGAATCTAGCCTAGTGCTACTCTGTCAGCTGAGTGGGAATTTGAGGAGTGGGGATGCTCCTTATAGGTCCCCGGGAGCGTTTCTGACGTGTCGACGATTCCCCACGGTCTATTACTCAACCAAAAACACTCAAATATGCAAGGAAAAGTGAAGGAGGAAGAGGGAATGCAAAAATGGGATGCCATGAGTCATTTTGGGCGCCTAAATTTATAGGCAAAAATTTGCAGGGGCGGACGACCGTCTGGTGTAGGTAGACGACCATCTGCCCCCAATGACCACTTCTGGGCGGTCGTTTGGCTGGGTTGGATGGCTGTCTGCTCCCAACGGCTACCCCTGGACAACCATCTGCTCTGAATGGACGACCATCTGGTCCCAACAGCCACTGGTGGACGACCGTTTGCTATCTTTTTTTTTTGTGTGAAGAAAATAGGACCCTGTTCATCAACATCTATGCATGTAATGTTTATGATATGCATCCTATAATGTTATTTCAGTTAATATTTTCAGAAAAATTAACGGATGTGTTCCTGACGATGAGGCTCTTCTGGTGTCACATTCAGCTGTACCGTTTTTGCCATTTCGAATTTGCCATAACCGAAGAATGATCGTGTCAAAGAGCTATTTGCCATACTAGTGTGTTTCTTCCTTTCTTTTGGAATTTCAATCCTCCTATTGATTACAATGTTTCCATATTGCCCAGTCAATCACCAGAATATCATAGTGATAAGGGTCAAGAGAAAAGAAGGAAAAGGATAATTAATTCAAAAGTTTGTGTTTTAGAAGGGATTTTTATTTTCAAAACAACAATATTTGTAAGCACGGCTAGCCAAGGTTAGTCAGACTATTTAGGCTTAGTTTAAACAAATGCTTGTTTGCGAGGTTGAATCTTTAATTGATTGTTTTGTGGCGCCTATTACAACTGATTGACTTCCCTAGACCGCCCCTTTGGGTTTTCAATCTAGGATGTTGTGTTTGGTCCTAACTTTTGTCTAGGTTTCCTTTTTTGCTTTAGGAACTCTATCGAACTTTGTTTTGTAACCCTATCTTTTGCCTAGGCTACCCTTTATTATTGTTCGGGTTTCCTAGTGGGCTGACCCTAACTTTTGCGTAACCCCCTTTGTGGGTTTCCTATCGGGTAAGTTGCCCTTCCTTTTTTTTGGCCTTCGGCTTCTACGGGCTCTTTTTATCATTTTAGTTTTCTTTTTTTTGCACAACATTGATGAAACATGACTTTATTATGACGAGGTAAAACCTTACTTGTGTTTCTAATCAATCAATGATGGTTAATTTTGCTTTTTGATGATAGCGCGCTCTTAATTTTTAGACGCCTTTTGGAAACGTTTTCTTAAACATGGTTATTAAGGAGGCATACACATGAATAGCAAGAAAAGAAGCAGATAGTAAAAAATGCATTCTTTATGATTAAAAGGGGAATATGTGCCCGGAAAATGCCCGGGGGTCGGGCTTGCCCCGGGGAGTAATCTCTAATAGTCATTGGGTTTACATTCCTTTAAAAATTGGAAGAAGAACACCTAATGACTAAAGTTACTCTTGACGCTTGTATCCCTCCGCTTCGGAAGATTTGATTTAGTGGGCGGAGGGGGGAGGCTTTCCCTTTCTTCTTGTAGTTCGATCCTTTGTAGGGTCATACCCTAGGCCGTGCTTCAAAGGATTGTCTTTGAAATCTGGTGGCTCCCTTATTCCTTGGGAATTCATACCGAGTCCCTGGCCAGGGCGGTACCCATATTTTGACATCATGTGTGCCACCTTCATATTGTTAGGAAGTCTTTCAACATTGGCGATTTCAAGCGCTTGAAAAGATGTTTCAAGGGCCTCTTCAGCTGCATCCACATAGGGTAGGGTAGACGGCTTGCTGATCAAGATGTCGTCTTCAGCTTGCATTGTGACCAGTTTGTCACCTACCATGAATTTTATTCTTTGGTGGAGCGTTGAAGGGATCGCTTTGGCGTCGTGAATCCAAGGTCTGCCGAGGATGCAACTGTAAGCAGGAGTGATGTCCATCACATGGAAATTCACATTGAAGATAGTGAGACCTATTTGGATTGGCAGGTTGATCTCCCCCACTACTTCGCGTCTTGATCCATCGAAGGCTCGAACGACGGTGTTACTTGGGCGTATATGGGCTCCTTGTATCGTCAATTTATCGAGTGTGCACTTAGGCATGATGTTCAGGGATGACCTATTATCCACAAGGACTTTGGCGATGAGATATTCTCTACACTTGACGGATATGTGTAAAGGCTTGTTATGGCTTGATCCTCCAGGAGGGAGTTCTTCATTGGTGAAGGTAAGATGATCATTGGCTATAATGTTGCCAATAATCCCTTCGAACTTGTCTTGGGATATGGTATGCGACACGTAGGCTTCGTTTAAGACCCTCAACAGCGCATTCTGGTGTGGTTCTGAACTCATTATTAAAGATAACAAAGTTATCTTTGTGGGTGTGCGGTTGAGTTGGTCTATGATGGAGTACTCACTTTACTTTATGAACTGGAGTAACTCATCAACCTCCTTCTTGGATTCTTCTTTATTCTCTTATTTGATTTCTTTATTTTTTCCCTTATTTTTGGGGGCGTCTTCCTATGACTCATTGGGAGAGTAGATTCGTCCGCTTCTGGTCATGCCCCCAATACCGGCTATATTGGAAATATCTTCATTTATTGCGTATTTTCACGGTACAACTTTATTTGATTTGTAGGGGAAAGGACAAGGCATAAATAATCGCAGCGGTGCCCTTGCCCCCTCTTCTTTATTGATTGTGATAACCAGTGGTTGAGGCTTATTGTCTTCTTTAGGTGGCTCAACCGTTGAGGAGAGACTGATGATGAGTGGTTTCCTCTCCATTCTTCTGATTTACGAAAAAAATCAGTTAACCTTTCCTTTTTATTATCTTATTAATTTTAAGCAAGGAGGGATATGTGAATGAATGCAAGATGAATGCAATAGATAGTTGTAAAGATAAACAAAAGGTGATTTTATTCATCAAGGAAAAAATGTACATTCCCCTAGACCATGCTACGAAGCACATTTTGGAAAAAAAGGAAAAGCTTAAAGAAACCCACAGGCGGGTTCTGATTCCTACATAATTCCCCTTCGACTTCCCGTACATGACGAGTAAGTACTTCGGATTGTCGATGGACTGCCTGACTCATATCTTCATTGTATTTTGAGCCTTCTTTATTTTTGCCTCTTGATGGACGACCAAGACTTGTAAGTTATCGAGCTTCTCGACAGCTCGGTCTCTTTCTTGCAGAACTTGGTCGTATTGAGCTAATCCGTCTCTCTCTTTGCAGGTAGCTCAACCAAGTTTCTGCTAAGTCTTTGGGTGGTTTCCCATCTTCGTTGTGCTTCAGACCGAGTCCTTTAGAGATCTTGTTGCATCATCTTGGTCATTTGTGCCTGCTTTACATATTCGGCCTTAAGGTGTGCTAGCTTGGCCATCATCTCTTGGAGTCGATTATCCGAGTTTACTCTAACAACTTTGGATGCTCGGATAACCTCCTCGTTGGAGTCATCACATTGGTCCTTGAGACACTCTATCTCTTGGTCTTTCTTCTTGCACTGCCTTTGCAAACCGTCAATGGTAAGGATAAACTCTTGTTCTTTCTCCTCAAGGGCCCTCAACTGGGCTCCCATGATTTCTATCCTTTGGGTCAAGGCATCGACTTGGGTTTTCAGTTCTCCATTTACTGATGGTGAGGCGAGTGGAGCGGGTGGTTGTGGCACCCTTCTATCCTTCCTCCATTCCTCATAGTCACTAGAAACAGCTACTCGAGCCCTGCCAAGCTCTTCATCCCCTATGTAGACTGGTCTCTCCCATGCTCTTCGGATTGCGGGCGAATCCTTGAAGCTGTTGGAATTACAAAAGAAACACAATCCCTCGATTTCTTCCCGTGTTGGCACGGTCTGGGTCCTCATAAGCTGCCTCATAGCTATCTGTGGGGATGTAGACCCCAAATCTTGCCCGACCTCAAAATAAAGAGCAGAAGACTTCCGTTCGAAGATGGGCAAGGCCTAAAAGGTCCCTAGGATAGAGCAATAGACCCCATTTTAGAATAAGCAGGGTTTTTGTAAGAGAAAAATAAGAAATTTCACCTAAAAGGGTGAGATTGCCATCTCGTTTGGCGAGATTACTGTCTTGCCATCGACTAAGGGCGAGACCGCCGTCTCATTTGGCAAGACGATGGTTCCGACCTTGTCAGGCGAGACGGCGGTCTTGACCTCACAGGCGCGAATTTCTATAAAAGGGGGGCGTCCTCATCCTTTACACAACATAGAACAACTTTCCCTTCTGCACTTTCTCTAAATTATTCTCCTAGGATCCCTCTGAAGCATTTCCGGAGTTTCTCAGTGTTCTTAGTAAGCGTCCTTGAAAGTGATGAATATCTTATTGAATTACTTTGGCAAAGATCTTGTTGATTTGATGAAGTAAAAAATGAAGTCAAAGGCTACTTTGTGGCAGTCAAAGGTCACTTAGATAAAAGAGTAGTGAGATTAGTGAGTCTGCATCTCTGCTTAGGTGTAATCATTTTTATCTCTCTACTGCATGAGGTTTCTTCATTGAAAAGATTTTGCAAATGCCTCTAAAAAATGTTTAAACGGTTAAAAACAAAGTATTTTGTTAAAAGGTTTTTAATTAACTATTTTAACTAATAGTATATAAGCTTTATCAACTAAAATGTTCTTAACACTTTTGTAACAGGTTTTTAACTGATTTGTTTTCGAAATAATTGATTGTTTTCATTAGAAGGATTTTTGAAAACCTTCCGCAAGTATTTTAACCGATATAGAATTGATATAATCGATTAAAATGACTTAGAATATTTTGAAAAGTGTTCTGGCGGAATTTTAATCGATACAAACTCGAAATAATCGATTGAAATAACTTGAAGTGTTTTGAAAGTTGTTCTACAAGTATTTTAATCGATACAAATGTGAAATAATCGATTAAAACAACTAAGAGGTTTTTCCACAATGTTTTAATCGATTAATACAAGCTTGCTATCAGCTTAAAATAACTTAGAAAGTTTTATGAAATCTTTTGCCGTAATTATAATCGATTAAAATGTGTTTCAATCGATTAAAATAAATAAGTGAACTTTTTTCAAAGTGTTTTAATCGATTAAAACAGATTGTTATCGCTTAAAATCACTTAGAAAAGTTTATAAGAATTTTTTGCAGTATTTTAATCGATTGAAAGATCTAAACAATCGATTAAAACAAGTTTGGAAGATTTTTTACAAAGAGTTTTAATTGATATAAACGGTGTCAGTATCGCTTAAAACAAATATGGAAAATAATCAAGAACTTTTTAACAGATTAAAAGAAGTTTTAACAGATTAAAACAAGACTTTTAACAGATTAAAAGATTATTTTAACAGATTAAATAAACCAAGCATTTTTGAAAATCTTCTATATAAACAGAGT